ATATATATGTAAAAAAGTAACATGGAAAGAGACGAGGAAAGGTTCTACCATTAAATTTTATCGAATTGAGTAAAATAATCGAAATGTAATCTTTTTATTATCGTCCGCGAGTTATTACTGTTACAATGTTTCTTATCTAGTTATTGTAATTTGATATATGAAACAACACTCTTCCTGCTGATCGTTCCAGATTCTCCATTTTAAATCATACTCTCGCTGAAAGGAAAATTAAACATTTAGAATTTTGCACATATTCTCTACTTGGAATTATTTCAAAACTGAGTTGGATTGTAAGCAATTTTTTCTCTAATACAATACTTACGAGTGGATATCTTCTCACAGTCGTTTCCAAGTGGTATATGTTCTTCTGGCCAGCCTCGAGGGGGCAGGTGGTCAATGAGCAAGGGTTGGAACGCACGCTCAGAATTGGGATGTCTATCGAATCGATAGTCCAATATATTCCACCCTGTATGCTCTCTGACGAGAATGCTAAAGAAAATATAATTTATTATCATTAATTCGTAAACTGACAGGACTTGAACTGCTTGTAACTATATGAAAATGCTTACAAGGCGTGTAATGGAATGTCATGTTCGCGGAGATTCCCCTTTTGAAGTTACATGGTTTGCCACTTGCAGCGTCTTCACACGGGTCTACGTACACTTCATGTATCGTACAATTCGATGCAGTAGCAGCTTTGATAAAAGAAATAAATGGACTTTGAATTATTTCATATTATCACTAATTAAAGGGCCTAGCTGGATAAGGGGATCAAAAGTGCCCTTGAGCCGAATGAAGCGCCGTTTGCTCCATTCGATAGCTTAACAAAAAATAAACATTCACTCCACTTTTTAGCCCTATATTTCAACCAGTGGGTTAGTAATCGGGAAAATTCGTAAAATCAGTTTTTTGAGGTTTTTCCTTATTTACCGCCTTACGAAAAATCTGAGAAAATTCTGACATGTTCGTAGAGTAATTGGACATGTCTGAGAATTTTCTCAGGAAAAAGTATAGGTTAGGTTAGGATAGGTTAAGAAATATAGGTCTGCAAGTTTTGCGAACTACACTGTTTTAAAACTGACTAGTAGCTTAACAATTTACAGTCCAATAAGTCCAATATTAGAATAACGTAAGTATGAAGTAATAAACGGAGATTTCCTACAACTTACACATGGATTGAATAAAATCATTAAGATTACAATTGATACAACTTCAAGTTAGACACAGATTTTACGTCGCTTAATTAACTTGACCTTACGGGTGTCGAACAACCTCGGAAAATTGATTGAAAGGAGAAAAATCGATGCTTACCGTTGGGATAAGGACACGGCCGCCACTGGATGAGCTCTCCTTCGACGTTGTACAATCCAGAGAAGAGGAGAAAGGAAATAAACGAGAGTAGCGTCACGTTATCGCGGGTCATCGTCGACGGCACGGTTCTTCGCGGTGTGAACGAGAAACGAATATTGCAGCGTTCGTCTACGGACTGCGAGTACTCGGAGCTCCGGCTGCGATACGAGAAACCTTAAATACGTACGGAGCGAGGGGGTTATCGTCGGTAAATTAAAATTGTATCTTAAGAAGCTACACATGTACGGGTATGTAAAATCCCGTCCGCAACAGCGTGACAAGTTTAAATTTGAGAAACAGCATTGGCGTCGATGGTCCCAATCTGTTTCCATTCATCGCATATAAAATAATACAATAAATATAACATAGAATAGTGATTGAATAATGTCATCATATTTGATTTTATGTAAATTATGTGAATGTCTAAAGATTTCTTATTCAACAGAAAGGAAATGAAATAATTGAAGAAACAAGTGAAATGGACATGTGAATAAAATTTTGTCGTGTGAGGCTTCGTTTCAATTCAAATCAATCTTCAAAATAAGATGTTGAAATAATTATAAAGTTTATTATTGTGCAAATTGCTGAAAATGTTGTTCATTCTGCCTAATACATAAATAATTCTAACTTCTAATTAAATTTCTTTGTACGCATCGTAACATATTCTGTTGTTTTAATGTACGAATGGCTAGAATAATCTTTTCTTTTAATTGCTCGCAACTCATGATTGCACAATTGATTTAGTATGACTCCATAAATGAAAGTCAAGCGGAGTTAGGTCACGAGAGCGCGGTAGCCAAGCTATTGTTCCACCAATCCAACCTTGGTATTGTTGATTTAAAAAATCTTTCACTTGATTGAAATTTGACAGTGAACTGCCTTGCTGAAAAATTTCCTCTAATTCTTAGCTGTGCATCTTCTAGTAATTCCGGTAGCTTATTTTGTAAAAAATCGAAATATTCTGCTGATGTTACATTTTCTTCGAAAAAATAAGGTCCAATAATTAGATGTCCGATTATGTCAGCCCAGACGTTTATATCCCATCTTACTTGCAAATGTGTTTCAAGAATAGAATGAGGGTTCTCAGTTTGCCAACGTTATGGGCACTGAACATGCCGTCCCTTATAAACTTCGCTTCATCGGTCCATACAATTTTTAATAGAAATTCTGGTATTTTTAATAAAAATCGTTGGCATGTTGTTGAAGCAACCAATGACAAAATGTCTTTCGCGAAATCTTATTATGAGGCATGAGTCCTTGTACTATGGTGATATGGTAAAGACGTGACATTTTCTCGTGTAGAGTTCGAAGAGC